TATATATATATATAAGAGAGGGAGGGAGCAGGGATACAACAGAAGTTAGAAGAATGGAATTGCTAGCAACACATGAAGAATCTCAAAAGAGATCAATAGTAAGAAAACTTGCATTAAAACAGAGGATTTAAACTCTTGAAAAACGCATGCAGACTCTTAATTTTGAGAAAAAGCAAGTTGGAGGTTATATGTGTCTTATCTGAATTAAGAGTTTTTATAGAGAGTGAATTTGCTCTTGAGAGTGAACTTGCTTTCTGATAGTAGCAACGTACTTTATTTTTCAGCGAAAGATCCCTGAATTGCTACTACATTATTGCAGCGAAACATGTGATTCGTGCATGAAGATGTCACCGCACATTATGTACTTCATGTACGTAAGTTCATTGATATAATATTCCCAAGAAACAGGTGTACCATAGTAAAACTTCAGCGTTTTATCACATCAGTGGGACATTTTTTTAGTAATTGTGAACCTGTGGACACATTAGAGGAACAAGAAGCTCTGACTTTCGTTGTTTTAATAGAAATTAAAAGCAACTTCGAATATGACCGGAAATGGTTTTTACATCAATACATAGTTTGTAGTCATCTGATGCGTCAGTGATTACCATATCGAGCGACTCTTGCAATAACTAATCTAAAAAAAACTTCTAAAAAATATCGGAAGTTCCAAAAAGTCGATACGTTGATACGTTAATAGAGTAGTTAATAATTAACATTAATTCGTAAAGTATGTTGCATAAGTAATAAATATCTAGTTTATAAATCAGGCCTCTCTTCAATCGAATTCAATATTAAATGCTATTAATTTGATGGTTTTTAAATTTTTAAATGTGCCCTAAAAAACCCTATATTTATCAGAAATATAGGGTTTCATTTTTAAACTATACTTTCTTATCAGTGCCAATGAATACTGTTGAAATTCATTTTTGATAAAATTGAAATGTAATTGTTGAACAGAATTAAAGAGTATTTTTGTTCATTTCAGAGACAATAACACCAGAAATGTCAAAAGAAATTTCTGAATGTCAGATTCAAAACTGTGGACCGGCCTGCTTGTGAGTTTTAAATTCGAAAGTTAATTTTTTAACAAAAAAAAGAATGTTTATATGAAAGAAATTATGTTTCATTTGTGTGTATGTTGTTAAGAACATGGATATTTATCTAGGGTTCTCAATAGTCTTTGACCAGTGTAATTTTTAAATCGTTTACTTGCTTCTGATGGTTTAAGTGAGTGAAAAATATTTATTGAGAGTTGTGAACTCAAAGAAATTGCTATATTTTTGTGTTCAAATATCTCCAACCAGTTTATAATTTTAATTTATTAAAACCATTTTCAAGAATGCAAGTTGAAAGGTTTACATAACAACAGAAAAACTATATGATACTGCTAGTGCATTATATTCCTGTCTCTTGCAGCAATTACAACAGCACAAATTGATCTCGATAAAATTATCATTATACGCAGCTAGAATTTGATCCCATTCTGGTTGTCCCATTCTGATCCCATTTGGATTAAAAGACTTATATTGTGAATATTGATGTCTTTCTATGAGACGTTTATCTCTTCCCATTAATAATATTTAAAAATGAAGAGTTGGAGATTGTGTTCGCTTCTGTTTTTGAGAAAGTGAAAAGATAACATCAGCTATAATTAGGCTTAGCGTGACTCAAATGTCATAAACAATGTTGAAACGCATAGCAGTCATGAAAATAGCATATTATTCACAAATTAAAAGCGTTATTTCACGTCAGTTCCTGCTGTCTTTGAAGAATCATGACATAATTTGTACAATGCGCAAAATAAGAAGATATCACCCTGAATAACTTTCGTTTTAATGATCAGATTTTTACGTACTAAATACCGATCCTAATAGTTCCTTGGGGTGACTTTAAATACGCGAATTAATTAGTGCTAAATATTAATTTAATTACGAAATCAGACAGAAAACGTACTTTTTCTGAAGGAACAAATATATATATATATATATTAAGCAATACATTATGTAGGCATACATTAAGCATACATTATGCATTATGTAAGCAATTAAATTGCTTCACATAAACTTATAGCACAAATATAAAGTGTGTAGACTAAACATTTTAATACTAGTGTATAGCAATAAAAATATGGCAAAAATTTTGTCGAATAGAGTCATTCAATATTTAGATATATGACCGGAATTTTCGCGACTTTTTATTCAACCTTTACAACTCAGAAATTTCTTTTTAAAATAATTTTATACAATAATTTTTAAAAAATAAAACTTTTTTTTAAATAATTCTTTCAAATATGTTTTCTAAAATAAAACTATTTATATAAAAAAAAAAGTGTCGAGTTGAAATTTTTTAGTAGATTTACGAAATAACCATTGTAATATTCAATATAAATAATTATTTTATATTACCCAATCACTCAAAAATTTTGAATTCGAAAAGAGAATTCTAGTTAGCGGTAAAGTTTAACTCGAATTAAAACAATTTAAATTAAAAAAAATGGAATTCAGACGTGCAAAGTTTGATTTACCCACCGGATTAGTGAAATTATAAACTTCCCATTTGTATTATTGAAATTTTTTTAGTTTTCTCTTCTAACTGCTGAGGAAAACTTTAAGAGTTCTACTTTGGTAAATACGTGCTATTTACTATTACTGATAATTAGGTTATAATTAATTTAAGCTTTATTGATCCAAATTAGCCAAATTGAGAGCTTTGCGTTATATATATATATGTATATCGGGTCTTGTTTTTTTAAACTCACGTAATAGCTCTCAGGTTGAGACGGTTGCATCTCTTCGTAACTTAAACTGTAAGAAATTCTGGATTAAATGACCCCAGCATACATGTTTATGGTCCTTTTTACAGCAAATTTCATTTTTGTCGGAATATGTTACAGAATAAAAGAATCTGATATAACCGTAATGTTTGCAGCAATAATAACTGCAAAATCACTTAATCACTCTAGTAGAATAAATGCTATTATAAAAATTACAGTAAAATAATTTAAGGTAAAATAGCTTTTACGGATGATGCACCATAAGTGCTTGTTTTTTTACTGTGTAAAAAAAATTCATTGCTTAAAGCATTAAAAATACATTAAACTCTATTATAAAATTCCAATTAGATTTAAAAGTCAAGAGTTTAAATCAATTATTTAGAATAACTAATAGTTTAAACGCGAAAATGAGGCTAATGAATTGCCTCGATTACACTTTTCCAAACTAGTGTGAAAAGAGGATTTAGGTATTAACTTGCTATCGAGATTACAGACTTGTTATCCTCGAACTTAAAACATTATCTGATGCATATGATTGGATATTGTAATGTTTATTCGCATGATATTCATTAAATTCGTATTTGCATAAGTCTATAAGATTATAAATGTAGTTTCATGACGGTGTTAGATATAATTGCCATCACAACTACTTTTGAAAATGCTGAATCTTGAAGATTTAAACTCAAGACACAGTAAAATGTAAATAACTAATTGATCCTGTAAAGTTGGGAACTAATTATAATATTTATAGTAATTGGTTTTCAGTCGAGCAAAGATAACTTGTAAGCAACTTCCTAATTTTTTCATTCTTGCTTTTATTCTTTAACATTGTAAGGATGCTGAACAATACACACAGTGTTCCGCAAACACCGTCCTCAATGTATTGGTTTGAAATATTTTAAATAGAAATCACAAAAGTTTACATATAAGGAGTCACAATATATATATGTAAGGGAAAATTGAAATCCAATAAATCACGTTTAAAGAAAAAGTGGTTTAAAATATCAATATTAATTTGATTCCCCTAAGAAACTTGAAATTGTTTCTAATAGTAATCTTTGAACGACTCTCAGTTTTCCTCGGTAAGCCGAAGCTTGTTTTAATACTTTTATTCCTACTTTACTAGTAAATTTTACGTCAGGTTATGTTAGTATTTTTCTTTCATTTTTTGACCCCCGTTGCATACGTTTTTGTCACAGATTCTTTAGATATATAAAAGCGGTAATTACGAATCACCCTACGAAATTAATACATAAGTCCCTAAAGTCTTTTTTTTCATTAATGTTTATTAAAAGACATATTAAATTTCGATGTCAATGTGACATGCTTTCAAACTTTTCCAAAACAAAAGTATTTTTTCTCCATGCCCACAAGAAATGTATCATGTTTATTCAATCTTGCTTTATTTTGCANATATATATGCATGTGCCCAATAAATATCATTCTGTTATTTCCATTCCTTCCTGGTGTACCACATTTAATGGTTAGTGAATTTTAACTATAGACAAAATTTTAGGGATAATAATTTTTACAGCTTTGATAGTCTACCAGGTAATAAAGTTAAGAGAAACAAAAAATAAAGTACCTGAGAAATTATGGATTTTATAATAATTCTAATGCGCATTCACAAGGTTTTGTATAATTTGCAAATTTTTTTTCTATAACTGATGGAATTGCTAAATGTTAAGTGGCATTTTAAAAACATTGCATTATGTAATGTTCAAGAAAAATATGTTGAATTAATATGTTGTATATAGTAGGATCCTTCTTAAAAAATTGCCACAATCTGCCAAATATTTAGGTTACTTGTTTTTTTAAGATAAAGATGATTTGCAAATAGCATTCTGATGTTTCGATACATACGGAAGCTTAATTATTACCATAAAAAGACATTCTACATGCTCTTCAATTAGTAAAAGTTACATTTGTCATATTTATTTTTTACATACATCTGACTCTAAACAGAGTTCGTAAGGCCTTTAAGATACTGAAATTCTAGCAATAAAACTTATAAGAAAAGATAATAAATTTCATTAACTCAAAATATCTGGTTTAAAAATTTGAATTTTAAAGTAAAAAATAACACTATAGTTACAATATTAGCTACGTTTATCCGCACGTTTACGTTTATCCCACAGAAACCAGAAGATTGAACCTTAGTTCGTGAAAATACGATCATTAGAATGAAAATTGTTCAGAATGATATCTTTTTTATTTTTTCACTGTACATATAGATATAAATAGAGCCATAATAATGTAATTTACATTTAAAAGATTATTCAACAAAGAAATAAACATGTATTATTTTTTAAATTCTTGTAGTGACGTGTTCTACGAAGTTTCTAGGGATGTTTCTGAAATTCGTAAAGTAAGTATGTACAAACTTTTTATTTAAAAAAGTACTCTGAAAAATTATGTTACTTGAAATAATATTTGGATAAAACAATTGTTGCTAGGGACAACCGGACAATGGTCTGATGTAATAAATAGGAATTTATTGGAGTTTTTTTTTATCAATACTTTTTAAAGAAGGGTTATTTTTCAATAGATGGCACCACTATGATAAAATTTAAATTCAATTAAAATGATTATATTTTATGAGAAATTTTTATTTATCCTTTTAAAATGGGATGTTTGGGGTGAATTGGGGGTAGTGAATTGTATTAACATTTAAGGAGGATTGTATCATTAGACTGGAGTGCGGATCATGCCCGATGGAATGTTTGCTTGAGACATCACCGCTGACAGGATCTATCATGGCTGCTAGAAGTGTGTTCTGAGCCAGTATCATCGAGAAAGAGTTTAGAAATAGCTGGAGTCTTGGAGTGAGTTGATCTAGGCTGAAATGCTGAACGGTTGATGTTTGGAAAGAGTCTCTGGATGCAGCGACTAGGTACGCAACATTGAGCGGATGAGCTGTTGTCTGGAAGAAAGTTAATCTGAAGCCTCAGAATAGTTGACGGGAAGTGATAGACTGAATGTCGCTAAGTTCAAGACAGTTGGCAAGAATTGAGCGTTCCTCGACTGAAAGTCGAATGTTTCCCTGGTGCACTCTGTCTTACTAATGGAGGGTCTGAAGAATTGAATGGCGGTCGGAAGCTCGAATTTCTCCTTGTCCACAAGTCTAGCTGCAAACCCGGTGGGCGTTCCAGAAGGTGATCCGCAAGTTCCTTTTGTATTTATGAACTCTAATTTCTTTCTCTTTGAGTAACCTTTTAGAAGAGCAATTTATCCCGAATTTTAAATTATTTCTATCAGGTGTTAAGATACCTATTTTAAGGTGAGCCATGGATATTTAATCTTAATTATCGATTTGATCTAAAGTTTAAATGTTTTTGTAGGTTTAGAATGAGCTAGTATTTTATTTCATAATTGTCTCTTTTAGTGTGAATTTATTGAATGTGATGCCTATGAAATTTAAAAGTGCTTTTTATCAAAAAGTTTTATCTTGAGTATATCAATTTGGAAATTTAAAAGTGTATAAATTGGACATTTTTGTGCACATGAAGGCATCTGGAAATAATTGAAGTTGTGTTTGTTGAAATTTATAGTTATAATGAAATTTAATTTTAATTGTTAAATGCTTCATGTAATTCATTAGTTATTTGTCTATTTTTGAACCTGGTTAACTGTTACCAAAATTCAATTAAAAGATCACAGCCTTGCCAAAGTTTGAAGGGTAACAGTACACTGAATAAAAAAACTGGATAAAAGTCTAAACGTTTTGATACTATGAACTTTTTAATAAGTTTGCAGGGTCACTGCTTACTAATTCGCCATGAATGAAAGGCAATTTTTATTTTGTGCCATATCTGGACGCGAAGAAAATCAATAAGAACCAAACATCAATATTAAGAGAGTCTATATCGAAACAAACATTTACAGTCAGCAACTCATCTCCTACGTGCCCTAGTCAATTCAGTACAAAAATCGTATAAATAATAAAGAGGGGGGGGAGCTTCTCGTGTCGTAATAAAATCACTTATGCCAATATATCGACCATGTATGACCTGAAACACAAAATGTTGGGAATGTTGTTGTTCTGAGCCTTCAAGAAAAAATTAATATTATCTCAAGTCTTCCATGGACTGAAACTGCTTATTTTTTTGGTATATACTGACACAAGACAAGATTCTTGATGGTTTCGTAAAATCATTTTGATGGCTTATGCCCCTTTCAATGTTATTCGTGATGGTCCAACATCATTTGATGGTCACCATCATTCAACAATACATTACGTATTCATGGTTTCTGATATGCCAGCAAACTCCATCATTCCATGAAAGAAAATGGTACTTTTATGATATGATAGTTAACCTTCAGGAGAAGTTTGATTCCCATAGACCAACAATCCACGATGATCCGTGATGGTTTCAGTTATACAATTCCATGATGGTTTAATGCGAATTCTTGTTGGTTCTCGAGAATATACCATTAAAACAATTTTTTTTTATACTGATCCATCACAAATCCGTCTAAATTCCTACATTGGGATGATGGTTGTTCATGTTTGTTCCAACTTTTGTTTTGTGAGAAACTATGATGGAAGTACCTGATTGTTTGACATGACAAAACACCGAAACAAGTTGCTTTTCTTATGTTGGACCATCATAAATCAGTCCTAATTCCTACATCGGGGTGATGGTTACTTTTGTTGGTTACCATCAAACATACAATGGTTCATGATGAAATTATTGTTGTTTACCATCAAAATTATGTTGGTCTATCAATGGAAACCATCAGAAATATCGACTTGGGGAGGATAGGTTTCTTTGGGAACTGAGATTTATTTGAAGGCATAACAAGCATCGGATTATACAAAAACCTTCACTTTGAAGATTTCTCAATGAGGATTGATGCACTGTCCTGCAGAAGAAACTGACTTACGCCGACAAATCTCACTACAAATGACAATAAATGGGTCCTTAGCATATTTTGCTAAACAGTAGCCATCTATGCGCCATGGTGAAGGGGTTAAATTCAGCCGTACCCGAACACTGCAGCCGAAGCCTAGGCACAATGTTAATAAATGCCTATCTTGCTGCAAATTTTATGCACATGATTAGAAAAATAAGAGAAAAACAACATCCTAAGTTAAAAAGATATCCACCTGTTAAGCCGGGGTAACCTGTTCGAGGCTCGTGTTCATGAGATCACGTATTCAAATCCCGCCAGTCAAAGAATTCCCATGTATTATTTGGTGACTGGTTCATGTTAAATCTGTCGGAGTCACAAAATCTTCTAAGTGTCCATAACAAACAAATACCCCTGTAAGGGTACTGAGGGAATTTTGAGATTGATCGTTCTCTGGATTAGGGCGAAATTATTATCTGTGGATAAATGAATTGGCCCATCCTGTAATACGGGCAGTGATGTGTGAGACGCCGAAATCGTATTTTTCGACATAAACAATACCACTGAAAAAAAAAAGAAACGCCCCCCTCTTCCTTCAAATTTTGCCCGGTTTCCCATATCAGACGTGCTGATATTGGTAAGTGGTATTAATACCAACAACACTAATTAAGAGTGAAGATTACAGCTATATTTAGCTTTCTAACTACTTGAGAAGTTTGAATAATGACTTTTTCATATACAAGATTACATTATGTTTATTCTTTTACTTTTCTTGAAACCATTCTAAAACAATTTTTGGAGAAATTAATTTTTGCTTGTACTCTTTACTTAAAATTTTTTTCAGGGGAGATGTAACACTGAAGAAGCAATCACTGAGTAAGAGGACAGACCTTCTTTTTCAAATTATTTCATATTTAGGGATCCTACTTGTTACGAATCTTACAAGTTAATCACCACTACATAAATGCTGAAATTCAGAGTTAGTTTCCTATTAAGATAAATTAGCAAACAGCCAAATATATTTTGATATATTTGATGATTTGTCAGGTTAAATAACATTTTTGAAAACACAGTTGTATATACTTTTTTAACTTTTCTTTTGACGTGAAATCTAAAGATAATATTTAAAAATATCAGTGATTAAGAGACATTCTGTATAAAATCGATAATTTGAAATCAATAGAGTTTGTTTTCTATTAAAAAGTGTAATCTCCGTATTAATGGTGACTGGTACATAATGTCCTTTAACGTCCTTTTAAACGTCCTTTCACCTGGATCAAATTCTATAATAAAACTTTTCATTTCCTGTTATTACCATTCTTACCATTCCTTGTACGGTATAAAAAAATCATGTAACTGGAATGAATATTTTTAATAAGTACTAAGCGATTGTGTGCCAAGCATAAAAAGCTTGAAATAAATTCCACTTTATTTATTCTAATTTGTTTTTCTTAATTCAGTCTTATTACTTTCTTTTTATCAAAGTCTCCTTGACTTTAAATTACGGATTAAAAAAAATTCCTTATTGGAGCCGTTTATGAAAATATTTGTCTTATTAGAGTACTTTTCAAAGGAACTTACCCGCGCTTACGTTACATGGAGCGCAAACCACCCCTGGTTAGCCTAATGGAAAAGAGTCTCTAACCTATGATTCATCTACCACAGAGGATATTTTACATCAGCACTGTGGTCGGTGTGCTGAATTCGTATCGGCCACTTATCGGAGGGGTTAGAACCCGGTTCAATTCATTAGGAAAACGAACGCGCTATCTCCTGAGCCCCAACGACTCCGGTTCAATTATATTTAATTTTATAACCGTCATTGAATAGCCGACCCCATTTTGTGTTTACGACTACCGATGTTCATGTCCGTAGCCTTATAATTTTGAACCTAATCCAGAAGACAAAGGATCTCCTCGATCAAGTATTGAAAGAAATTTGCGCTCGTGGAAGACACTTTGATGGAACTAACCCACATTTGCGTTACATGGAGGCAAAATAAATTAGTACTACTTTCCCATTAGTTTTTGCTTTTGAATACGTAAGTATTTTTTTCTATTCCATTACCGTTGCATTTAAATAAGTAATTCTTAAAAACACTTTAAAAAGAACTAATATAAATAAAATAAGAGCTCGTGGTATCAGTCGAAGTATACATTTGATGACGTAAACCACGCGTGTTACTAAGTAATGTTCAATGAACTCCTTTATTAATAAAAAATTAATTTCCTGCTCGCATTTTTTAAAAAAAATGTATATTACCTAAGTAGATTAAACAATAGATTCTTAACTTTAACTATCTTGAGTTTCATTTATTTATTTATTTTTAAGACTTTCACTATGGATTGAAATTTCTATTGACCTGAGTAACTTGGAAATAACTACATATGACACCAGTCCTAAATTTGAAGTGAGTTTTTTCATGAATATTTCATGATCATTTTTAATTTTTAGCAAATTTTATTTCGAAATCGGAGAATATTGCTTTCACGATGTTTGTCGCAAATAAGGTCAGGAATGAAGCACAAAATAGTTTAATCTTTTAGTTTCAAAGCAGTAAATATTCTCCTTTTCAATAAATAACAAGTATTGATAGCTTGTTATTCATACTATTGTCTAATACAAATATGGTCCTCTGTCTTTTTTTTTTTTGGGGGGNTATATATATATATATATATATATATATATATATATATATATATATATATATATATATATATATATATATATATATATATATATATATATATATATATATATATATATATATATATATATATATATATATATATATATATATATATATATATATATATATATATATATATATATATATATATATATATATATATATATATATATATATATATATATATATATATATATATATATATATATATATATATATATATATATATATATATATATATATATATATATATATATATATATATATATATATATATATATATATATATATATATATATATATATATATATATATATATATATATATATATATATATATATATATATATATATATATATATATATATATATATATATATATATATATATATATATATATATATATATATATATATATATATATATATATATATATATATATATATATATATATATATATATATATATATATATATATATATATATATATATATATATATATATATATATATATATATATATATATATATATATATATATATATATATATATATATATATATATATATATATATATATATATATATATATATATATATATATATATATATATATATATATATATATATATATATATATATATATATATATATATATATATATATATATATATATATATATATATATATATATATATATATATATATATATATATATATATATATATATATATATATATATATATATATATATATATATATATATATATATATATATATATATATATATATATATATATATATATATATATATATATATATATATATATATATATATATATATATATATATATATATATATATATATATATATATATATATATATATATATATATATATATATATATATATATATATATATATATATATATATATATATATATATATATATATATATATATATATATATATATATATATATATATATATATATATATATATATATATATATATATATATATATATATATATATATATATATATATATATATATATATATATATATATATATATATATATATATATATATATATATATATATATATATATATATATATATATATATATATATATATATATATATATATATATATATATATATATATATATATATATATATATATATATATATATATATATATATATATATATATATATATATATATATATATATATATATATATATATATATATATATATATATATATATATATATATATATATATATATATATATATATATATATATATATATATATATATATATATATATATATATATATATATATATATATATATATATATATATATATATATATATATATATATATATATATATATATATATATATATATATATATATATATATATATATATATATATATATATATATATATATATATATATATATATATATATATATATATATATATATATATATATATATATATATATATATATATATATATATATATATATATATATATATATATATATATATATATATATATATATATATATATATATATATATATATATATATATATATATATATATATATATATATATATATATATATATATATATATATATATATATATATATATATATATATATATATATATATATATATATATATATATATATATATATATATATATATATATATATATATATATATATATATATATATATATATATATATATATATATATATATATATATATATATATATATATATATATATGCAAACACTATAATATTTTTCAATAAGCAATATTGTTAAGAACAGGGTAATTTTTAAAAAAATATTTTAATAATATTCAGCAAAATAACTATAAATGAAAACATTAATTTTGCGGAATTAAAATAAACAATGCACCAATAGCATTTTCTTTACGCTAAATACATTTATAAATATGACATTATATATATATGTTATAATATTTCTCTATATACAATATTGTTAATGACAGGAACAAATCGAATTAAGATTTAAAACCAGATTAAACTTACGAATTAACGTTTTAGAAAACAAATAATCAGATTAATCAATATATCAATACGAAATAAGTTGAGATGTTGTAAAACTGAAGAATGAAATTCTAACTCTTTTGTGATTGGTTGCATCTCTGAAAAAGAAAATTCAGACTTGTAAATCGCTCTTTTAAGCTTGCCGTTTTCAGACATGTGATTGGCTGTTGTGAACGGCGGTTATTCTTCATTATTAACTGCAAAATCGTGCTTTAAAACTAAAATAAATAAAAATTTAAAATTATGTAAAAGATTTGAATGCCCTAAATGTCTTCCCTGAAAGATTCTGAATGAATTGATTCCTTAATCTTAGATTTTCATCACGTAGTTAAAAAGTTTTTCAGGGGACAAAATTAACTGCAAAAACTTTTTTTTAGAATAGATTATATATAAAAATTTCTAGTTTTAAATATAATGAAAAATGTTCAATTAATTTTGATTTAGAAAGTATATATTTCTATGCTGAATCAATGGTCTCCAAATTCGCCCCTATAACTTTCTATCTGACAATTTTTCAAAATTACTATTTTTCATGATTATCATGAGAATATTTTTTAATATTATCAGCATTTCTTTAAAAGAAACAATTTAAGTATTAATCAGTTATAAAGGTATAATTATCAATAGTTGTGTTTAATGTCTTTTTATTTTTATTTTAGAGCATTGAGCATTTTGGTAGCATTGGAGGCTATGTTGGAATGTGGCTGGGTATATCATTAGTTGCAGTTTTCGATTTCTTGAGTACAGCGCTTGCTTTGCTGAAATTTCCTTTTCGAAATTTTACTATTAAAAAGACCAGAGTACTCAGCATAAATCATCAAGAAAGTAACAAGTAAGACTTTTAAGTTTACAAAAATCAAAGATTTTAAAAAGCTATTAAACTCAAAGAAGGAGGGGGTAATAATTTGTGCAATGTGAATAAATGTACATAAATTGATACTTATGCGACCTCTAAACAGGAACCTTCCTCAGAGTCAAATACAATGCTTTATCTTAAAATAACGTTGCAGAGCGTCTTTTAAGTATTATTGATTCCAACTATAATCTCGCAATCCACCAATCTCTCCGAATTGAGCTTAAACATTTTGATTGTTTTACGTTATTAAACGAAAACCAGTTCTTCAATTGCAAAGATTTTGAGTGTATTGGAAATCATTTTCTCCCCTGCTAATAAACTCATTTATCTTAACCCTTTTTAGGCCAAGTAAGTGAATTTTATAAAATGAAGAATATTTTCCTTGAAATATGCTTACATTACACTTAATAAGACGCATAAAAAATTCCGTGTGTAAAATTATTTATTTTTTATTTAAGAAATAAAGTGGGGAATATAAGCGACATTCGCCAAATCAATGAAAAAGCCATCAAGTTGAAAGCTTCTTTTTTTATGATTTTTTTTTTTTTACTTACAGACTTGAAACTTTAATCCTCCATAAAATATACTGATGAATCTCAAAAGCAATAATTATGCATTTTCAAAAAGTTCTATTAGTCAATAATTGTTTTAAGTTTTAAAAAAAACTTTAATAGTTTAAAAATTTCTCAACAGAAAGTGTTTACTCTAATTGAATTACTATTAATTTTTGGGATATTTTAAGAAACCTAGACAAGTAGAAAAATAAAATTAGTGAAAAATATATGTCCTAGTGTAAATAAAAAGATATTTATTGATCCTATTGATTGCAATGGAATTCATCAAGTCACAGTTGGAATTCAAATTATAGGCTTGAGTTTTCTTCGACAAAAAACATTCAGCACTGTTCCACACCTTCCGAACTTAATTTTTAAGAATATTTTGAAGAACTCTAATAATTTATTTAAGGATTTTTCAAGTATCTAACCTTTTCCCAATGTTTGGAAACTCATTTTAATTTAATCAGTTCCACCTGCAGTTCTCACCAAATCCCCTCACTCCTATTTCTTATCTCTGCATTGTTTTTACCTTCTTCAAACTCGCTCTTTTGTTCCCATTGGTTAAAGCAATTTACACTTGTCTCCGGATTCTCTACGTCTCCGGATTCATAGACAGTGATGAAGGTTTTTGTTTATGGAACTGAAACTACAGTATGTCAATTTATATAATTTTTTTGTGCTTTATTCACTTTTTTTTCTACACTATTAATCTTCTTACAACCACATTCTTACAAATTACTGCAGTACAATGTTTAAATTACTGTAAAAAAAAGAAGTATGCTCCCCGAAAGAATTGCTTTTGAAACTTTAGAAGTTAAATAACAGACTTTGACAGCGTGGAACAAAAATACAGTCGCGTACTTGAGAATTTAGGCATACTCTATAAGCAGCACTTAAAATTTTAACACTTAACACTAGCGCACTTAAAATGTAGTATTAAAAACACTTGAAACTAGTTTGGTTGCTTTTCCTGGGGTTTTATGTTTAAAGATAATTTTGAGTATTTAATAGTACGGATTCGAGATGGAACCCTCGAAATGTTAGTATTTCAGTGATCAGTGGGGAAAATTTAATTATTTTCGTATTTTATCATCTAAGATAAAATACACAAAATGTTATGTTATCATCTGAGAAAGGTCGTATGTTTAAACTTATACTTATTAAGAACTAATCAGCAGAATTCGATCAAATTTTAGATTCTGTCATTCAAAAATTTCCAGCTTAAAAATAATTAAAGGCTTTATATACCCTGCAATTTAAAAAAAACTTTTAACTACTGGTAAATTAAATTTAAAAAAAAAACAATTAGTTACATTGTTACATTGTGATATTACTTTTGGATAAACAAGTTAAAAAATTGTGCGCAGAAGTATCTTGATTCGATTCATTAATTCCGGATATATGGCGATTAGTGTTTCGAAAATTGCCTTCAAAAGTTACAAAATTGTTTGTTAGAGACTTCTATGGAAACATTTTCATTAAAATCTTATAGATTATAGTGTTAGGTAATTATTTTAAGCAGCATCTTGTACTACACTATAAGGAATCGGTCAACATTGTAAAAAAAACTTTACTACAGGAATTCATTAAATAGGAAAGAACAGAAAGTTATCGGCTAGTAATAATTCGAAAGCATGTGTTATGTAATGTAAAAATGTATTTCTATATAGAAGGGGAACTAGGTATCTCCTTTAAGAATTAAATCCTATACCACCAAAAGGTATGGATCAACATGTTCAAACGTTTTATGCTCCATTTCTCTTAAATAGTATTTTTTGAAATCATTCTTAAGAGTTAAAAAGAGAAGTCATCATTATCCTTTCTAATACATAAAAAAATTAACAAATTTAAAAAAGACATTGTTTTCGCAAATGATAAAATTTAGTTTTACTTGCCTCGACTTGAAAAAAAAATACTTTAGGAGCATAGAAGAAAATCCCTTTTATGTTGAACCACCAAACTTGAAACTTCTCAAAGAGTTTTCATATTGGCAGCCAGCATATTAAAATAATGCCTGTTAAGACTAATGAGCATGATTATTCTTACTAGCTACTAATGCTAATAGAAAAGAGCTGAAAGTTATCGGTTTGTTATAATTTGAAAGCACGTGTTATGTAATGTAAAAATGTATTGCAATATGAAATCAAAATAATCCTTGTTAAGACTAATGTTCATGATTATTCCGACTAGCTACTAATATGCAAAGCGCAGTGCTGAAAGTCCAGCAGATTAGTAACATTCTTCCTATCAGATATTCTGCAATGGAAACCTTAATAAATCTTTCCGAACATTCCAGCAAGCATGAAATCAGCTAAATTATATACATTATGAGTCACTAAATAATGTATTTTTTAAAAAATAAAACAAAATCGTTTCATATTTGAAATAGCTACTGATGAGACCATTGAAAGCAAGTCAAATATTTAAATTATCTAAAACCAGTTTACTTGATGATGAAACTGAAGAACAGTAATTATGAAACTGATAAGGTGTTTTTTGATGTTTTTAATATTTACTTTGCATTTGTCGACCAACAATCGTTTTCTCTCTGTCTTTACTAATCAATTTAAACCTTCTAACGTGCGTATGCAGCCTGTCCTTATTTGGACTTTCTGCTATTAAACACCACATTTAATCAATCTAACGTACATATAATATTTTTTTTAATAATTCTAAACCTATACATTTCCATATTAATTAAGAAACACTCTTAAAGTCAATAAGAGAAAGAATACATAAATACATAACGCACATAAAAAATTTTTAACTGTAAGAGACTTTATATCACAAACTCTCGTAATACAAAGCCCTTATTATTATTTCTTTGTTATAAAAAATAATTCTGTCTTTATTATATTTTTGATCTTAAAACCTTTTTGTTGTTAACAATCATATATTTTCTGACTCCGTTTCCCTTCAGGAATGTTGAAAAGAGAGAAAACAAATTTTGGTCCAATTATTTGACGAATGCCTTTCGGGATTCGATGCTGAGTGGCGTTCCACAGATTCTTATGGCTGAGAGTAAAATCAAGAAATACGCTCTTTTATTGGTCTTTTTGTCTTGTTTAGCGGGATATACTTATCAATCTTCTGAATTCCTGAAACTGTTTTGGAAGTATGAAACTGTTGTTGATATACAACTAACTAACAGTAAAGTGACGGAATTACCTTCAATCACTATTTGTAATTATGATGGGTAAATATTTTAAAACTCTTTCATTACCAAATCATGCTTGTTTATCTTATAATTTTCAATATAACTGATGAGCGTAGAAGAAAAATGTTTCAGGAAAAAGTTTTCAATAAAATTCAACTCAATTCTACTCAACTATACAACACTCTGGATCCCAATAACTGATAAATTCAGGGGGTGGGATAAAAGACATCAAGAGAATAAAAAGTTGTCATTAAGCATTATCTCAAAAAACGCAATGCAAGCTCCGTATGAATCTAGAGGTGATATAGAAAGGTAATGGCGTGGAGATATTCTACGATACAAAAATATGCACTTATATACGCACTTTGGAGATAGAAAAATATCTCCGTGTGCATCCGAGATTCCTTTTTACGTCATTGTAGTCTGTCGAACGATGACGCATAATAATTAAAAAAAAATCTTTTTGTAGTTTACTAATCTTTAATATCATTCATTGTTTTTCATCACTCCTGGAGCTTGTCAGTCAAATTGTTCAGAGCGGAATTTTTATTGAGAGGAATTCTCAACATTTTTTATTTAAATTAAAGTCTATCTTCATATTAATTCTCAAATTCAACGAATTTTTCAAAGTTTTGAAATGATATTTTTTACATTTAATTATAAATTAGTACAAAAAAATTTTTAATTTCATTTAATATTTCTGAAGTTATAGTACGAAAGCGCTAGTAAAAAAAAATTTTTTTTCTAAAACTTTCCATATTTCTATGAAAATTTAAGCTAGGTTTACGATATTTTCTACAGTTATTTTTATATAAGATAAAATCAAGCTTCATATTATTTCTCAACGCAAATTTTGATTTTTATATTTGATTATAGTACCATGCAATATGCAATATATTTTGTTTCCAATAAAATTTGTTAACAAATATATCGAAAACACAGAATTTCTGAAAAGTAATAGAGCGAGCAAAGTGTGTTTTTTGAAACAAAATAACGGACATATTACCATTTAAAATGAATCTGAGTAATTTTATTTTCATTTAAGCTATGATATTTTTCCCATTAATTTCATTTTTTAATAAATTAGTGAGAAATTAAAAAACTCTCTCTGTCATTCAATTTTGCAGATCAAATATATCGAAAATATGTGAGGAGATTAAACCAGATTGGTGCACGCCATTATGGGAAGAATATCGAGATCCATTTGAGGCATGTAAATGCTTACCAGAGCGTATTTGCGAAAATGACACTTTGATAGATAAAATGGTTAGTAAATATAAATTCCTTTTCCGATTGAATTCTGCATCAGGATTGCATGAAATCATTGCAGTTGATTTCTCTTCCAACTTCGAGTCTTTCACTTCATCAATTTGTCATTGTGATTTTCGATAATAAAATGGCAATTTATTTGATTTAGGAGAGAGAGTGCATTGTTTAAACAGTAAATATTTTATTAAAGATGAGAATTGTTTTAAACCTTAAAAGCAAGGAGAGTTATTTGGGGGTATAACCAATTTTTAAAAAGAAAATCCACTGAAAGGGATCGTTTTTTCCCAAACTATTTCTGCTATTTGTTTAATAACTTCCAATGCTTTTTATTAAATTTTTAAAAGATTTTAAAAATATTTTATTTATAATTTTTCCTCTTCTCCTTAGAACTGTATTAATTTTTTCCTTTATATATATATATATATATATATTTAAAATTTAAGTTTTAGTTTTACTTTACAGTAGAGAGAGCATCAAATAAATAAAAAGCAAAGTTGTGCAAGAA